CTTCTCTCTATCTTCTGTGTAGATCGTTCTCCAGAAAGGATGATATTTAGCTTCGGGAGTACATATATACCACTTGGGTCTCTGAAAAAAGATTTGGGCACCACAGTGTATAAAATTGACTTCACTGGCACATACAAAACCCTAGGCCCAGTAGAAAATAAATGTTTTGCCAATGCATGTACCATTGTCAATGATTGACAATATGCTGTACCCCAAAAAAAGGTTCACAAGATTTCAAAAGAATGAAATCACAGAGAATGGATTCTCTGACCATATTATAATGAATCCAGAGAATTATAACAAGAATAACTACCCTGTTTCTCCGAAAATAAGACAGTGTCTTATATTAATTTTTGCTCCTAAAGATGAGCTAGGTCTTATTTTCAGGGATGTCTTATTTTTCCATGAAGAAGAATACAATACACATTTATTGTTTATTGTTTTAATAAAAGAGACCTCGCCCTTCCTGTCTGGCCGGTTGCGCTGTGGCCAATAGTGAGCTGTGCGGTGGCATCCACCACTATGGTCCAGAGTCCAGTAGCTTCAAGGGGGCTTATTTTCAGGGAGGTCTTGTTTTCGGGGAGATGCCTTATATTTCAGCAAGAGGCAAAACTGTAAGTAGGTCTTATTTTCGGAGGATGTCTTTCTTTCGGGGAAATGGTAGGAGATCCTTACATGTTTGCAAATAAGCATTATATATCTGGAAGGTAATAATGAACTTCAGAAATTAATGAAATAGGGAACAAAGACATGAGCAATGGAGAACTTAAAACCTCAATAGTTGACTTCTCTTGGCAGGAGAGAAGGGAATAAATTAATAAAATTGGGAAAGTGGTGGGAGGGTTGAATAAGAAAGAGATGGGGAAAAGGTCAAATGGAGGGGGGAAAAGACAACAGTGGGAATATTACAAAGCTTAAACATGATAGGAGCATATTGTGAACAGTTGGGGCTCAATAAATCTAAAAGCTTAAATGCCAGTTATAAAATTACTGGAAAACATAACCTTTCAAGACTTTCTACAGTGCAAATACAGGTTCAATTGGTCACATCAGTGTATTCGACCACGCATGTAAGGAAAAGACTATCCCACTAAATCCGCCCCACCTCGTACCACTAAATCTTAACATGAACTTTTCAAAAGACTACTGAAAAACAACAGCCAAAAAGGCAAATTGTGTCATGAGGTCTGCATAAACGCATACCAAAATTTCGGCAGTGACACTGCATGAAAAGAAACCCAACTGAAGTATGATGGATCACTTTGTTTTTTATCCCAGTCCACTCCGCCCACCGTGGCTGATGGATCGCTTTTATACGGTCTTTTCAGCCACAGTTCGTAACTTCCATAAAAAGATTGAGTAGGACTATATAAATAAGGTGATTGTGGCCCACCATAGGAATTGGATAAGTTGCTAATACAAATAAGGTGTGTAACAGCCTTGTGGAGGTAGGACCAGGCAAATATGTTGAATGGAACCATAACAAGCAAATTGGAATGCGTCACCCCAGGAGAATAAAAGGGTGACCTGACTACCACCAAGAAGATATGGGACAGAAGCATATCCTCTGCCCAGTGCCCCTGCGCTTAGAATCTACTAGACCCAGAAAACACAAACATACAATAAATAAAGGCAACTTTTAAGATGGCTATTTTCTCATGGATACATACATATTAAAACACAGACACACACAACATACAGAGTGAACACAAGGTATTATTTTTGGAAAGGAAAATGAGAGATAATTTGAGTCCTATAAGTAGCTTAATCCTCTCAAGCAAAAGTATTAGAAACAAAAAACAAAATCCTATTGGAATAAAAGATTTCCTGGAGGGTGGAAGGAGGGTGGGGTAGAAAGGGGGAACCAATCACAAGGATCTACATATAACCTCCTCCGTGGAGGAGGGGCAACAGAAAAGTGGGTGAAGGGAAATGAAGGGAAATGTCGGACAGTGTAAGATATAACAAAATAATAATTTATAGATCATCAAGAGTTCATGCGGGAGAGGGGAGCGGGGAGGGAAGGAGGAAAAAGTGAGGAGCTGATACCAAGGGCTCAAGAGGGAAGCAAATGATTTGGGAATGATGAGGGCAACAAATGCACAAATGTGCTTGACACAATGGATGTATGTATGGATTGTGATAAGAGTTGTATGAGCCCCCAATAAAATG